CTTAAAGGCCACAGTGTTGCCAGCGTCCGATAAATCCTCGTACACTTCACGGTCGATTTGTCGATGTGGCAGCTTGGAGACCTCCCACATGCCATGGCACGTGCGCTCGAAGTCGAATGGATACATAAACTTATTCACGTACTGAACGTAGTCTACGTCTCCGTCTGGATTGTGGCGATGGGTTGAGCTGGCCGTGCCCGCCGGCATCGAGTCGACGTCACATTCGTTAAATACACTGTCGACTCGAGCGTAGCTTTCATTCACTTCCCGGAGATAGACTTCATACAGCGTAGCATCTGATGACTTCAGCCGAATCCATTTGAGGTCATCAATTCGATCGTACGAAGCGAGAGAACTATTTTGATCAAGAGATGTGATCGTCTTCGGGCAGTCTTGGAGTACAATGCCCATGTTCTTGATGTATGTTTCCTGAGAATTGACGATCTCTAAGAGCCTGTTGTGCTCTGCTTCCACTCGACGCCGCTGCTCTCGCTGTTGCGTGGCGATCTTTCTCCAGAATGTCTTAGAAAGCACCAAGTCCGTCCGCACTGCGGTCTTCGTACCGCGCCTCGCTTCTATAATCTCTCTTAGTTGCTGCGATAGCTCATTCACCGTTCGTTGAAGATCTTCGCGTTCATCCTTCACTCTCTGGCGATACTTTTGGCGTCTATCCGTTCCACTGCGAGCCTTGCTCTTCTTAATGAGTGGTTTGCCACCCTCACAGATATTGCTCAGGTCACCCTCGAATTCAATACCTCGTGTCAGCAACCCGTCGTCATCCAGTGAAGAAATTGGGGAAAGAGTGGACCAGTTGTGCACTGTATCGTCGTAGTGTAGACTTTTCCCGAAAGACTTGCGAGGCGTAAACAGTGCCTCCTCTTCGAGGAACACGGTGACTTCTTGGAGGAACTCGAGGTCAGTTGACATTCTTCTGCTCACTGGTGAATTTGTGACTGACCAGAGCGCCGTCATCGATGTTTAATCGAGCAGTTGCCACCTTTACCAGAATCAGATAACACATGTGATGTGTCAAGGTGACTGAGTCCTACCAAATGTGCCTGATTGGAAGGAATTGTACTTTGCTTGCACTTTAAATGATGGTACGGACCTGAACGTACCGTCATCAAGGCCGTTGTTATAATTCGAACTATCCACCCCAAGTACCACGTATAGATTGTATAATAGGGTGATGCATTATCTTGCTGGATGCACGTGCATCGAGATGTCGTAGAGTTGCGGTGCTATTAATGATAAAGCACACAAAATACAGTAAGGCTATCACATTTCCGTATTCCTAAGGGGGCAGACACATTCTTGACGTGACTTGCCGAACTCGAAATTGACAAAATCAGTGTCAGCAACGTTGACACTCGAGGGGTTCACCTTGCAAAGAATAGCTGCCACATCCACAGAGTTTATTAGAATGATAGGTTAATAATGTGAGAGTTGAGGGAGAGTATGTATATACATACATATATGTATGCCGGAGCCGGATAGGACTAGTGTAGACTGTTGGGGAGGTACTGTACACCCCTCATTGAGGTATATGTACTCTAGCTAATGTTCAATTTGAGATGACTCAGCTGTTTTTAGCTCGAACTCATCCCAACATACAATGAGATGTGTATTTTACACGTTTGTCGTGTCGTTATAACCTCCGATTTATTAATAGTAGTTGACATAATTGACATTCACGCCTTGGAGCTCCGATCTTATTATTTGGGCAGATATGACAGGGTATACAAACTGTGAAGTACGTTTATAGGTGTATCATAACTTTTGAGCTACCGGGTCGTTTGTTGAATGTGGAGCTGGATTTCCTTTACGTTATCACAGTATCGGATACTCAGCAAGACAGCGTGCATGCTGTCTGTATTCCTTAGTGTCCATGACTGTGTTGTCGAAGTCAAGACTTGTGGCGAAGATAGGTGCGCATTGATTATTCCAGCACGTGCTTTAATGAACGTCTCGCGCTTGGAGATTAAAAAAAATAATACCTTATTTAAGGTTTGTCCAATACCAAGTTAGCATTCTGTCAGCTTGACAAATCACATATGCTATCCGGTAAAGGCGGCATCCGGTGTTGCCTCTGCTACCACAACGGCTCGAATCGAGCCTCGATAAGGCTTTGATGACGGCGCACTGATCAGTCACGAATTCACCACCACGTACAAAGAATGTCAACCGACCTCGAGTTTCTCCAGCAAGTGACTGCGTTCCTCGAAGAGGAGGCTCTTTTCACACCTCGCAAGTCCTTCGGCAGCAATCAATATGCTGGTGAATCACCTCCCACCTGGCTGGCTGTCTCTCCTGTTAACAGTGACGCCTCTTTGTTGCGAGGGCATGAAGTCGAGGGTCATCTGAGCAAAACGAGTGACGGTGACAAACCACGAGCCAAGAAGAGCAAAGTGTGCCATGAAACCGACCGACGCCACAAGTATCGTCAACGACTAAAAGACGAGCGCGACCAGCTGAATCACACGGTGAACGTGCTCTCGAAGCAATTACAAGAGCTCATCGAAGCTAAGCAAGGGACGAAGACCACCGCGCGGACGGATTTAGTGCTCTCGAAATCGTTCTGGAGGAAAGTGGCAACGCAACAACGCGAGCAACGCTATCTAGTAGAAGCAGAACACAAGAGGCTCTCGGACATCGTCAATTCCCAAGATGCGTACATCGAGAAAATGATGATCGCACTTCGAAAGGGATTCTTAAATATTTCGCTAACTGGTGAGATTAAAGCTGCTGATATGCATGATCAGATCGACGACCTCAAGTGGCTACATCTGAAGTCGTCTGATGCTATGCTGTATGAAGTCTATCTTCGGGAGGTGAATGAAAGCTACGCTCGAGTCGACAGTGTATTAAACGAATGTGACGTCGACTCGGTGCCTGTGGGGACAGTCAGTTACATCCATCGCCACAATCCAGACGGAGACGTAGACTACGTTCAGTACGTGAATAAGTTTATGTATCCATTCGACTTCGAGCGCACGTGCAATGGCATGTGGGAGGTCTCCAAGCTGCCACATCGACAAATCGACCGTGAAGTGTACGAGGATTTATCGGACGCTGGCAACACTGTGGCCTTTAAGTTCCGAGTGAAGAAGACACTGGCCGACGGATCCACTGTATCTGTGTTGAAACGTGTGTTGTCGAGGCGATTTCGCGATAACAACCAAGTGGTGATCATTTGGAAGATCTTTTCAGAGGGCGAAGGAATCTTCAGTGGGATGGACGTCAACGAGACGACGTGGGGCCGAATGCGCCCCTATCTGGAAGGATCAAGCTGTGGAGTGTTGGTAGAGTCCTGTACACGACAGACTCCCGGGCCGTATATAACAGAAAACGCCGATGACTGGGCAGGTAGAACGTTTCGGGCTATAATGCAGGAAGCAGTGGTAGAGGATACACAAGAGTTCGTCCGAGCGTTAGGCGAACTTTTACGAAACGATGCCTCACCGAGTATCGAATTTGAAACTTGATCCATTCAAAAGACCAACACTAACGTAAATCCGCCCAAGATTATCGACCTTGGTAAGTAAATATTTGTTTTTGTTTCCAACCTGAGATTCTATAGAAAATGAATGGAATGACTGACGTAGAATCACGTTGCACTGAGAAGTGCGTCACTTGAGTTCGTTTAGTCCGGTTTGTAGCGCTCCCTTCAACATCTCGAGAGTCTCAACCTTGGCCGCTGCCTGTCCGCTTTCCTCCTGGCACTTGTCCAGCTGATTCTTCGTGAATAGCTCCGGGTTGGAGCCTTCCTCCATCATTCGTAGCACCTGCAATGGGATGTCGGCGCTGTACTCAGCAGCCGCTTTGTCCGCTTGTTGCAGCAGCTCCACGTATCGCTGGGCCTTGTCACTGAGGAAGCCCAACTGATCCGGACGGAAGTCCGCTACGCCGTCCGCCAGCTGGTCCAGCGTCCGCACGACGTCCACCAGCGTTTCGAGCAATTTGGGCGGCAAATGCTTCACCACGTCGTCTCGAGGGAGCGCGGGGCCCGCTCCGAAGGCTCCTCCTGCTGCTCCTCGCCCCATGGGCACAAGCTGCGGCTTGGTAGTTCGACTGCTGCTAGTGGACGAGCGTCCACCAGTGGTGGACGGCGTCTTGGGCCTCGGAGGGGATCCACTGGGCGTGAACGGGGCCAAATACGGACTGGCTCCCACCTGTGCACGGCGCTCCTGCAGCTCCGAGGCGGCGGACGACGATGCTGACGGGGTGGGTTGCAGTCCGGAGGTTGATGCAGAGGCACCAGAGCCTTCGCCGCGGCCTGAGGGAGGCAGGTCTGCAAGAAACTGGTCCGGCTCGGCCTCCAAGTCCTCCTCCTCGAGTGTCTTCGGCGCGTCCATGGTGAGATTTCGGGGGTGTATACAATGTGTATAGCGATGTTGCAGATACAAATTTTAGTCCTCACAATTTTTTATTAAAAAAAAAGGCTGTTCCAACCTAGCGACATGTACAACTTACAAACATCAAGATAAGCCGCTTACTCTACCAAAATCTCCAGGACGGATGTCATTTTCGGTCTTACGATTTGCTCCGCTGCGCGTCGCAAAGGCAGGAGCGCAGCGACTGCCGACAAAACGATTCTCTCACCTGGGGTAGGCAGGCCTCGGCTCGCTGAGGAGCTCGGCGCTGGGCCCGCCTTCGCAAATACCGCACGGCCCTCCTTCGGGGGGCACCCCGTGCGGATTGCTGCGGCTACGCGACCTCGCACCCGCTCGCCTCCGATGGTAATCTCCGAGCTGATTTGAACTACATTTCACCCCCTCTTTCCTAGGTTGGAACACGAACCACTCTCAAAAAAAAAATGAAAAATGAGCGGATTCTTCGTAACAAAACCCTCCACTCACGCTAACGTTCTCCAAAGCGGTGTTCAGCAGTGTACCTCTGCTCGATCAGCAAATTCAAATACTGAAACTATGTTCTTTTAGCATTATCCAAGCTTACCAAATTGCCGCAAACAAATACATGTAATCCAAATCTTTTAAATGTAACAGAGTTCACATGACCTCGATTGTGCTGCTTGAGAAATCGTATGGCGTGGGTAGATCATGACGACTAGTACGTTATAGTTCCTTCAAAGCCAGGAACTTCCTCCACACGATACCGTGTTCGCTTTATCTCCCATTTGTCGAACTCGCGTAAGTTTTGAGCATGGACAGCCATAGTCTCAGCAATATCGGGAATGTGAACAGCTTCAGAAAACTCGCGGCGAGCTTCAGCAAGCATACCGCGCATGACAAAACACACCGCAGCATTGTTGTGCACTGAACTGTTCTCTCGGTGCGTTTCCAGCAGCTTGAAGTAGCCATCGCAAACACGATCCGTATACCCTAAAGCTGCGAGAAGATGAAGTCGATACAAGTGCGACTTGAGAGTACCACGTGGAGAAAACTCGTGCGCGAGGACCCAAAGCTGTCGACATTCGGTGTCGTCTGGACTGCAGCGTCCAGCATGAAGCAGATACTCTGCACGCTGTCCTAAAATTTTCCAGTCGGCTGGATCCATCCTGTAACCACAGCAAAATGAGTGCATATTTTTTTCAACAATAATACAAATATCTTACCGAAGAGAAAATCGGAATAACAAGTCTTCGTTTCTCCATTGAGTCAAGAGATCATGTGAAATTGACAGCAGAGTCCCGACCAATAGAACATAGATACTCCAGGCGTAGCTCTTAGTTGTGTGAATCGTAAATTTTTGGATTCTTTTTGTCTGTTTTGTGCGTAAATTGTGTGGTATCTCGCGCTCTGGTGTATCCCAAGCTGGAGCAGTTAGTCGATCGCTCTCATCTGGCGCATTACATTCTTGGAATAAACAGCAAGCGACTACCCATCCACCGTAGGGCGCTACGATGATGCTAGGTAGATATCCATATCGATTCGCTGCTGTAGTAATTATTCCATGCTGAATGAATCCAGACACAGGCATCAGCATGCAAATGAAGAAAGTTAATGCTAGCGAATGCTTCGAGACGCCTCGATGCCATGAAGTCCAAATCGTCAGCACCAAAACGAAAACTGTTGTCGCTGATGACAGTAAACATTCCGGATTTGAGAAGCTTAGGTCACCTGGTTGAATCCTGTAGTGTGGGCGTAGTTCCGAAGGCCACACAAGGGATCGTACGATCCACAATGGCGAATTCAAAGCTTTCAACACTCGTTCACCAAGCGATAGCGAAACAACGTCTGGAACTCCTCCTTGAGAATTCGAGAAAGCCGTGACAAAGACAAACACCAGCAGAATTACTACTGAAGGGGCCAGTTTAGCAGCGTACACGCCGATTTGTTTCATTTTGACACCGTGTTGCTGAGGAAATAGCTGTAGATACACCCACAGATCCATGAGAAAGAAACCCACAGGTAATAGCAAACTTGAACTTTTCGATAGAAGAGCGCAGAGATAAAGCCCTAAATAGCATAGTACAACAGCACAATTGTAAGAAAAAAAATAATATTGAGCTGCAAGAGTATGACCGTACCAGAAGCGCAGATGCTGCTTGAGGTAGATCCACCACTAATTAGTGTTTTGAAGACCAATCCATTGCCACTGCCCGCTATTTCAGCGTTATTGCTTCCTAGGAAGTTGTTCAAATTTTGGTGGACATTTTTCACGTGGACAAACAGAGCCCAGGAGCTGAAAAGAGCTGCTAGTGTATACGGCTGAGCTGACGGCCAGGCAATAACCTCAACGTGAAGCGGATGAATCATAAGCACAACTGCGCTCATGCAACAAGCGTGGAAGTGTAGTTGACTATGTTTCTTCTGTGATCGCTTCAACGCCGTCATCATATAGTCAATGTCCAGGACTAAAGCTGAGACTTTCGCCAAGACGAATCCTGCTGCGAAATGGGTGAGAATCGACATCATTCGAACCCACCAGGCATCCAACCCCACGGTCTGTACTATAATATACTTCAATAACCATCCCAGAGGCTCGTACACGTGGAGTCTCACCATCGTGGACATGTTTAAGAGCGTCTCAAAGCTCCACGAACTGTGAAGTACTGGGTTCTCGACGAAGTTGGTGCGATCGTCCCAAATGTACCAGAAATCCCAGTCCCCTGACGTTCTCGATAAAAGTAAAGGCGACGTGTATATCAGCGCTGTTGCCACCGAGATCAACGCTACACATTGTCCACGAGTCCGCATGCCCCTCCAAAGATATCGGATCCTTAGTAAACAATTTTCCCTCTCTATATAGTTATAGAGACTGATATTCCTATTTAAGGGTTCGTACCATTAATCTGGCACTGCGCGTCAGCAAAAAAGAGGCTAACGTTACTACAGTACAATTGTGTTTCTACATCATTTTTTTTAAAGGTTTCAAAAATTAAAAAAAACGTATCCATGACATTTGATTGAGACTTGCTCGATACCACCGCTACAATCTTGTAGAACCACCTTTCTGAAGGATCCGACCTGGTAAATGGTTGAAATCGCTAATTACAGTGTATGATTCAGGTTTAGGGATCTCCTGAAGGCACAAATAAATGGACAAGAAGTGCGCATCATTCATGGTAGAGATTTGGTTTTCTACCTCAGCGTGACTCAACATGTCCCGCCCAAGCCAAAGTGAGAGCCATTCACACCTGCAACAGCTGGGATTTGGTTGACGCCATGACGATGACAAATTTGAATTCAACTGATGTGTCTATTGGACCGTCATAGCCCACTTTTGCCCACGTTATCCCTCACTCATTCCGAGAACTACCAGATCAACAACAAGCAACGAGATGGACACGATAGACGCTGACATTCTCGCGCAATTCCTGCGAGAATGCGAGCCTCCAACGCCTCCTTCTGCATCCTCATCAAGCTGCCTGGGACCGGTTCCTACCAACTTTATTAG